TATATAATAATATAAATAATAACAATGATAATTTTAATAAAATTTTTGTTGTACTCTTAAGGTGATTAAATATTTCGATAGTAATTTTTCAAAATACATTATTCACGCAATCAATGGCAATTGAAGCATAAATATTCCATTAATTTAATGTCATTCTTGACGAAATCTTAAATCGATTAAAAATAAAGAAAAAGTTAATAACCAATCCAAAGTGACTGACCGTTGGCACAGATTTTCTTCCAGCCGTGCCAGGGCCTGTCGAAATCCTTCTCTGGCAAAGTCTCCATTGGTTGGGGTAAAAGATTCCTATAATTTTCCCTCCGTTTTTCTTCACATATTTTTTTGGCATTCATCACCACCACCTCGTCTTCAATGTCTTCAAAGTGAAGCTCTTCTTCCAGGTAGGCTACCTCGTCGGTCTCTTCACTGGTGTATTTATTGTATTCTTCATCCACTTCTGGCCTATCATAATCCTGATTTAATTGATTAGAGTCTTCCTCTATCACAGGTGTACTCCTTATTGGTTTGAAACCAATCGATCTAAGTCTGGCTATTCTAATACTACTGCTCACCGCGTTTACTGCTACAAACGCCGAGCGAAAGACATTGGAAGCTGTCGGAGTAAATGTTATCAGTTATATCTTACTGATAAATCATTCAATACATTAGATGGTCTAATTAAACGAATATTGTACTTACAGCCTTTTTCCGCAACGTTAGATGTCAGTTCACAGGGTGCATTATCGTAAACCATTGCTTCATTATCAATCGACCTTGGCTCCGATTTGATCACGTCATCAAAGTACCGGCTGGCTTCTTCAACTTCCATTGGACTTGTTCCAGTGCACGTAACGGTGTTACACTGCTCAGCTTGATCGACGCTCGGCGCTACGAGAAGCATACACTGAACCCCCGAGTTGACCATTTTTGGCCTTTTTACCGTGACCTCTGGCTCATCTTGTTTTCTCTTTCTCTTCTCAATCTTTTTCGACTGCATGTCGATATTCGCGCTTCTTATCTCTTTTGGTTTCCTCATATCCTTATTGAGATTTCGTGACGGTATCCTTCGCGCATTGACAAGCTTTCGCTGCGACATTTCTGACTTTGACATCGGATATTTTTTAGGCGATCGCAGTCTACGCCTCCTGGAACCCCGCGTCACTGGATCAAATTTTGCATCGATTATCAGATTGGCGATCTCTCGCCTCTGCTTCTTCGAGACTCCGTTCTTTCGCGTCTTGTTTCTTATGTAAAATTTGCTCCTTAACTTGTTTTCCTTTGATGGCACCTTAGAATCGTCCTGATTTATCTTAGATATAAGAGTATTGTAAGCACCGAGTATTTCCGATTCTCCGTTTTCCAGTCCAATCATGTTTCCAATCAGCAATTTGGCCATAGGATGGTACTTTTCTTTAACGATTATGCTCACCAGCTTGTCCGGTGCTAGGGAGTCTATGCTCATTGACAACTCGCCAGCCGATTCGTCACTACTCTCCTGATGTATTTCGCACATCGTGGCAAGAGCGTTGGCATTCGGTGGCGGAGTTGCCACTGCGTGAATTTGGGCGACGTGCTGAAAGGTTTTCATACTGGAGCTCTGAGAGGGCGACTGCTTCAAAGAGGATGGATTTTTATTTACAAAGACGTTGGAATCGTTGGTCTTATAGCCGTTTTTTGACTCGGGAGTTACTGCCCAAGTGACTCGTTTGATTTTTTTCTCTGAACATTCGTTGGTCGGCGAGTACCTTATGGAGGGAGTTTTGTCGGTACCCTCGGTATCTGACGTGTCAGTACCGGGTTTTTCAGCCTCTGGTTGATTCTTTTGCGAATATCGCAAAAATTGATTAGATTTGAGGTAAGACGTGGGTTTGAATGTGTAGTTAGAAGATCTTTTAGCGTCTTGCGGGGACGAATTGTACAAGTTTGTGCGTATGGATAAATTTGTATTGCACGATTTCTTTGCGCACGAAACCAGACAGAAGCTCGATGAATCTGAGCCTGAGACAGATTTCGGAGAACTGTCCGGAGATCCTGGGATTTGTTTGTTAAACACCTGCCTGGACACTATTGCACTGACGGTGCCTAAATTAGGCTCCCCTACAACTTTGTTATACACAAATTTTGGAGTTTTTGATTTTTGAGGGATTATTTTTTTAAAGCTCCTAGTGAGTCTAGGAGACAAGGATTTCTTAGTTGAGTTAATGATTGAGAATCTGGATACTTTTCCAGCCCACACGGGGCTGACTTGATTTAGCACCCTTACTAGAGCAAACTTATGATACTTTGTATTGTCTGCTGATGAGCCTAACCAGTGATCTATCACTGTGTACAAGCCATCGTATCTACAACCAGTCTTAGGAGCGTAATCATTTGAAAGACAGTAGCTTCTCACGAGCCTTATAGGTACCCTGTTCTTATGACTCAATGTCAAAGAATCTTTGGATTTGTCATTTGCACTGTATTCCTGGCCTGTAAAAGTCAATATATCACCTAAATCCACATCGTTGTAAGTGTTAAGATGAGATGTGCAGACAGATGTTGCCCCGAATGGGCCTTGAGCCACGTTTTCATTTAAAGGCTCATGTACACAATCTCTGGAGCAGTCCATACGTATGCCCCACCATTTGCCAGATGGAAATCCAGATAAATGTCCATAATGTCCTACTTTTTGTGTTTTCTGAAATTAAAAAAAAAAAAAAATCAGTCAAGGATTCAAGTAAGTCTTCAAATACAGATAAAATTCACAACCCGGGTAATTAAAATACAACACTATTTAAAAATAAGTCCACCGAATTATGTCGCGAGAATCTCAGTAATCATGGTTACGGTAATTCCATTCTAAGAAGCTTCAAGATCAACGAGATGATTCACACATCAAATGCAAACCTTTTTAGATTTGCTTTGAGCTCGAATCTTTTTTCAATAAAAAAATCGAGAATCTAAAATTAAATGAACTTTGATTTCCTATAAAATATCGCAGATTGGGTGCCTAGTTATTTTTTAATGACATCTGACTCATTAAAGCCCCAGCCCTGCAAAGCTGCAAAAAAAACTTTTCATTGACAATTACTCAAAAGAGCCCCTAAAAAATACGGCTTACTACTTATTACTCTCGTGCGTAGGTACATTGTTACATACACTCGTATGTGACACTTTTGGGACTGATTGATCAGATTGATGATTATAGTTGTTTTTTTTTTTTTTTTATATTATAGTGCTCTACGTCCAGCTCCTTTAATAAGGGCACTACACAGGGCACTTTTAGCACTTGGGAGAAGGAAGGGAAGAGGGATGGGAGGCCTCCCATTACTGGGAGGGGGGTAGGGGGAAATTAGTCAATTATGCTGCGAGGAGGTCTCCTAAACCCTCCTCGAGGAGCATTGCGTGGTGAAAAAGCACAGAGGTACTTGCCCGATAAGTCGCACTGGCCGGGAATCGAACCACGGTCTGCCGCTTGCCAATCCACGACCTAGCCGACTGAGCCACCGCGCGCTCGATGATTATAGTTTAGGTACCGACGAAAACAAAGTCCCTCCCCTCTTAGCCCCTGTAGCCCTTTGCATCCCCAAATGTCATAACAAAAGGTTGTCTGCTCCATTTGAGAGGAAAGAGAAGCGAAAAGCAACAAACCTCAGACTTATCCTTAGCTGACCTCCTGGTGCACTCGGCGTTGACCTTCCAAAAGAGCGTGTCCAATTCGTCCTTTGTCCTCCGATCTTGCACCTATGTGTACGCACACAGGAGAGACAAAAATAATATAAAAATAAATAAAACCAAGGTGCTCCACTTTAAGTAGTTCAAATAAAACTTGTCGCACTAAAAATGCTTGGTTTTTAGGTGAATAATTTATAGGCAGGGGGTCGAGGATGAAGGAGTCCGAGGGATGATATGTGTTATTTTGGAGTGTATGTAGTGGTGCTCATGGATGTGGATCGAGAGAAGTACAGGGGTATATAGGGTATAAAGATTAATGTTGTCGAGACTTAACCTCCTTGCGCGCTTGGAGTTCCCGTAGGACGGCGAGGTTCTCCGCTAAACTGTTCACCCGTACTTGCAGCGTTTCCGCCATTTTTCTACGCACTATATATACGTTGCACTGAGTCGAACTTGCATGCGTGTGCCAAGCACGGAGAAGAGGAGAGGAGACGCCGAAACGGATAGACAGAGATAGCACAAAAAAGTAAGTGTGTAGTGTGTGTACTATACGCGGCGCAGAGATAGAGCACTGTTTTTTTTTCAATTATAAGTAAGTATAGGCATTTAGTCTCAGCTGATGTTGAGGCCGATGCTCTCAGCTCTTCTCTACGATCTTTAATTTTTTAGGAGGAAGGAGAGAGATAAATGCCAAAATACAGCTATTTATTGTTGTATTACAAAGTTTTTAAGCAAACTATTCATTTTTTACATTATACCTCGTGATGAAAAGGGGTTGAAAATAAAACGATTAATAAATAAGACGTATATTTTTTTTACTTGCGACAAACCATGTTTATTTGAATAATTATGAAGAATTGTAGATACAATAGAGAACGCTTGAGTGAGCCAACTGCTCTAAAATCATCTTATTGGCTGGGTAAAAAAGAAAAGGACATCTAACAAAAGTATATAACATCTCGCGAATTGTATTATTTTTTTTTAATCGAAAGAAAAAATAATGCGCGTGAAGGCCGATTCACTTATATTTAAATCGAAGGCGAGAGGCGCGAGAACTTTTTAACAATCTTATCGATGGGCAATAATATAACAAACGCCATCAATGATCACATAAAAAATATCGATGCAAGGAAGGAAAAACGTAATAAAAACACAATTAAAATTACCGAATCGCTTAAGAGAAAGATATCAATTAATTAAAGTAGTTTCTACGTAAGAGCAGAAGTGGTGGATAAAAGTTTGTTCTTTTTTTTTTTAATCTACTTAAACGCAGCTGCTACTATAAATATCGCAATTTTTTCTTGCTTGTCCTTTTTTGTTGATTATTACCAT